AAGATTTTTTGGAAATTGTCTAAAAAGCTTTGTTTGAGAATGAAATTTTTAAAATACCTACATATCTATAAAAAAAACTCCAAAAACGATAAACATTTTTTTACATAAAAAATTAAGATTTTTTGGAAATTGTCTAAAAATTCTCAAAAAATTCTGGACAATATCACATTTCGACGAGCTAATTCGCAAAATATGATTTCCTGATGGACAAAGATTTTCAAAAAATTCGGTTTAGGAATGATTATTGTTTTAACTCGAAAGCTCGAAAAGCAGTAAAAAATTCGGACGAGGATATTCAAAAACAGGTTTTTGGAAAGTTGCTTAAAATTTCTCAAAAATTCTGGAAAACAAATTTCGACGATAGGATTCGAAAAACGTAACGTGTTGCCAGTTCCGGCTCGAGATTTTCTGAAAATTATGTTTGAAACTGATTTTTTTAAAATATCTCCAATAAAACTGAAAAACGGTAGAAAAATCGTTCTGAAAATGTGATCTTTTTAATATCTCTAATAAAGCGTAAAAACGGTAAGAAAATCATACTGAAAAGTTGAGGTGTTTGGAAACTTGCCTAAAAATGCTCAAAAAATTTTATGAAATACATTTCGATGAGCGGATTCGAAAAACATGGCAAGAAATTCAGTTTAAAAATTCTCCTTTAAAAATATTTTTAAAGCTAGAAAAATCTAACAAAAAATGTAAATATTTTAGGAGGTACTGAAAATTTTAGTTTTTCCAAAATTTGCCTATAAATCAAAATATTCTGGGAAGTCTATTTCCGCTAGCTGACAGAGAGCTTTGATTGAGAATGAAATTTTTGAAATACACATCTATAAAAAGCTCCAAAAACGATAAAAAATTTCATATACATATAAACAATTAAGATTTTTTGGAAATTGTTTAAAAATTCTCAAAAACTTCTGGAAAATATCACATTTCGACGAGCTAATTCGAAAAATGTGATGTCGTGATGGACAAAAATTTTCAAAAAATTCGGTTTAGGAATGATTATTTTTTTAACTCGAAAGCTAGAAAAGCCGTAAAAAATTCAGACGAGGATATTCATAAACAGGTTTTTGGAAAGTTACTTAAAATTCCTCAAAAATTCTGGAAAACAAATTTCGACGATAGTATTCGAAAAACGGAACGTGTTGACAGTTCCGGCTCAAGATTTTCAAAAAATTCTGTTTGAAACTGTTTTTTTAAATACCTATCTCTAATAAAGCTCAAAAACGGTAGAAAAATCATCCTGAAAAATTGAAGTTTTTGGAAAGTTGCCTAAAAATTCTAAAAAAATTTTATGTTAGTGATCTCGGATCAAAATTCTTGAAAAATTCAGTTTAAAAATTATTTTTTAAAAATATTTTTAAAGCTCGAAATATCTCCAAAAAAATGTAAATATTATGCGGATACTGAAAATTTGAGCTTTTCTAAAATTTGTCTACAAATTCTCAAAATATTCTGGGAACTATATTTCCACTAGTTGATTTGAAAAGCTTAACGTGTTGATGGTATCGGCCAAAAATTTGAAAATATTCGATTTGAGAATGAAATTTTTGGAATACGTGTCTATAGGTATATAAAAAAGCTCGAAAAACAGTAAACATTTTGATTTTCATCAATTAAGATTTCTGGAAAGCCGCCTAAAAATCCTCAAATTATAGGTATACTTATTTTGACGAGCTAATTAAAAACATATGAGGTGCTGTAATTATATTATAAATAGGTAATTCGAAAAACGGTTCCGCCTGAAGATTTTCGGAAAATTCAGTTTAAAAGTGATTTTTCTAATATCTCTAATAAAGCGTAAAAACGGTACGGAAATCATACTGAAAAATTGAGGTTTTTGGAAAGTACCTAACAATTCTAAAAAAATTTTACGAAATACATTTTTTCAAGCCAATAACGTGAATTATAAACCGGGCTTCTGTTGGAGAAGCGTGCCAACGAAGTACAACAAAGAGCCGCTGTTTAAGATTGGAATGGCGTCATAAATTGGCATCCAATGGAAAGTGGCAAAACCACTATATTTCTTGGCACACTATAAATACCCCCATAGAAAAATCCAACTCGTGTCAAAACGGGACGTTCTCTGTGAATAACTTTAATTTCGCTTCTTCCAGATCCATCAAGAACGAATCGAACTCTACGCTTGTAGAAAAGATGCTCCTTTGTTGGCACACAACTATTTAAAAAATTTCAAAAACCGCCGAATCGAATCCCGGCTTCCGCTTTCTCCGCGTCGTTCAATTAGAGGTAATAGAGCCTCCTGTGTGGCCGAGTGTACGAGTCAAGGTGTTGGCGCTCTCGGAAAAATTTCGACCCGTTTCAATAAATTTCCTGGCAGTGCCATTCGACTGATATAAGATATGCGAGTTTTATTAGACTTATAAATAATAACGGGCCGACGATGAAGAGGCACAGATGTTGAATTTTTTAATCAACGAGATTAAATTTACAATGCGATGGCAATAAGTCGAACAAATGACGTAATATTTTAGATAAGTCGGTTTAATCAACACCGGTACGGCCCATCTATAACTACCGCTCTGATGGATGTTTATTGGGCCGCGTGACACGTACCGACGCGGCCCAATATTTAACCCAGGCAAATAATAGGCGCGAGCCTCTTATCGTCCCGGTTACATAATAAAACCTCCAATTTTCTCCGCAGGCCAGGAAGCGCCAGACAATGCGGAAATCATCGGTTCGTATTCGGAGCGCGAGGACACGCGTAGGAAATGGGCGGTGCGCCCTTTTTTGCGCCCTTTTCCGCCCTTCCGCCGTGAGAATAGCGGCCGCCGCGTCCCGGATTCGGAGACTTCAACTAGCAATCAAGCGACGACGCGCAGATAAAAATCCGTCCTAATTTACGGATTCCCGGCGTATTTCCGAACATTCCTCGTCCTTTCTCAAGGGCCGCCGTAAATAATGCGCCCAATTAACGTTGTCGTCAATTTGTTCCCGAAAGACCTTATTAATGACTTGATCGGGCCGATTTTTCGCAAAGGCGGGTGATTTACGCATGTGTTGGACAGCGATAAAGATGACAGGGAGTTTTTTCGATGGGTTTAATTATGTGGTGTTGTGGGCTAGAAAAAGTCAGCCGAACAGGTTAGAATTTGCGGTATTCTTCCCACTGCATTCTTGCGATTTTCGGCCCGCGGGGACTTGCGGGACACCGCTCATCGAGGGCCAACAAGAATGACAATGTTTATTTTTTAAGCTTAAGACGTGGGAAATTTCAAGAAATTTTTTTTTTCGAAAACAGAAAGTCCAAGTCGGTGTCTCACAGTATGTAGTTTTTAATGTCGCACGTCGCCCTTTTTTCTCTTAGCCGTGTCTGAGGGTGAAGAAACCAGAATCATATCCCTTATCTCAGACCGGTCCGATAGCTCCTCGAGATTAAAAACGGAATCTATCACTCTCGGGTCCCGTGATAAATCAGTCGAAAAGTGCAACCGACTGTGTCTAAGGGCAGTCGACCCATTCCTTTGCATATCCTCCGTCTCGAGACATTGTATCCAGTCTTTCCGCATCCCTTAACATCCAAGAAACGATCACACGGATCGCTGCCGGCCGCCGCTCGAAAAAGCGCCGAAACTCGAACCATGCAAATCGATTTAGCTTGGCGCGCAAAAACTAAACGATCTCGATAATTTTCGGCGAGCTAAACCATCGCAGATAAGGCTTAGGCCCATATGGGTCCGCCACCCACACCGATACAGACGTCAACTGTCACTGGTAATTGTCGCTGGTACAATCGGACGATCGAAGGATGTGCCAAAACAAGAGCGACTCCTGTGGAGTACCCACCGCAGTTGCACACCTCGGGTCGGATGCCATTACCAGAAACAGATAAAAAATAATAAGGCGAGTCTATAAACCGAAAGATGTAATCTGTGAGAAACAGTAGTTACAAGAAGTTTCTATAATTAAAACAAGGCTGTGGAGTCATTTTTACTGCGGCCACTTTTTTATATATTTTATATAATTTATATGTGGTCATAAATTACGCGAGATTTACGCCGGCACTAATCTTAATATCGTCTACTAGTCAAAAATTAGTGTGGACTTTAATTACGGGGGTTTATGGCCAGGGACGGCCCGATATCTCTTACGGTGTTTTATTCAAATCACAGAAATAATAGAATGACATTTTGCTGCTTGCGGTTCTTCGATAATGTGGGTTGTAAATTTTAATTTTTTGCCAGGAAACTATTTCGCGAAAATTAAAAAAAATTAAAGTTTACTTGGTGTAGATAAAATTTGAATTTTTTTTGAGTAGGTAACTCAGTCAGAGCTGTGAATAATAAAGTGCCGAATGTCGGGCATTGGGGACCGTAAGGTTCGCGTCATAGCAGGCGACCGTGCTGCAAAAACTGCAAAGTCGAGATTATCGCTCAGCCACATTCCACATGTTTTTTGCGATTGTGCGAAACCCCACTCGTAAATAACGCCTATGACAAGAGAATCTATTTACCATCAATCTCTATTTACCGTGCCGTTATCTCGGAACGCAGCTGAATCTCTTTCCGAGTCCCTAAAAAATCCCAAATTTCGTGAAAGTCCAGCTCGCTATGCAAATTCTTCCCTTATCGCACCTGCTCTCGGAAAGTAAGCCGGCGCTTCCATCAACAACCGCTACCTTATTAAAAATTTCATTATTTTTATTACCCGTCCGAAAGCGGACTTACCAAAGTGCGTCCATTCTTCACCTATCCAATTTAAAAATTCATAATTAAGATAAGAGGCAAAATCCAAGAACCCGATATGGCTGTCAATGGTAATTAATTTCGGGGCCGCGAGCACCGAGAGAAAGTGTCCGGCCCTTGTGGACGGACGGACGATCTTACGTGGATGGATAATTACGAGTAAAAATTGGCGGAGAGAGAGGGGGTATTTTTTTGTGGTAATAACATTAGCATATCGACATGTGTTTTTGAGGCAGGTGCAGCAGCACGCGCCGCGGCACCTTGTCTACGAAGGAAGAAAAAGACGAGTCGAGTCGATCGGTTTATTCGTGTAAAAAGTAGTATCAAAAATACAATACACTTAGCTTAAGTCATGGAACTTGGAAAACTTAACTAACTCAGTACGAGATTCATACGATATTGCGATAACACGCTAACTACTAGCTAACAATATTTACATTATGTACATAACAATGACTAGAAAAACAACGAGAGTTAAAATATCACTCCGAAGGCACTGGGTGGGTCTGGTCGGATTGGACCGGCGATCTGTAACAGAAGAAACCGTTAAAATGGTGAAAATTCTCAATACAGGTTCTTATACAGGGTTTTTTTCTCCAACAATTTCGCAGACGGTATTGTGTTCGTGAATGGACCCCTCACAGTCGCGACTCTTTTCAACCGTGAGGGTAAGAATCAAAGGAACGAGGGGACCGACAGGTAAAAGCAGGTTATCAATCGCGGATGGCGGAAATCAACTTATCAAAAAACAGGACGTGGTCCCTCTCCGATTCGCGCTACCAAAATACCGACCTGCTCTATTCGTTCTGCTGCCAGGAGAAGATCGCGTCCAGGAGCTCCTCGTCCTCCGGGCTCTTCGGCTCGTAGTTCTCGAAGTTCTCCTGGTGGTAGATCGTGTTGGTGTAGGTCGAGCCCGCCGAGAACGAGCTCTCCGAGCTGTGCGACGGCGACGGCGACGACGACTCCGAGCACGTGGGCGTCTGCAGCAGGATCGGGTACGACTGGTACTCCGGGCTGCTCGTGTAGTACCTGTTCTCCTGCAGCCCGCCGTCGGCGCCGCCCCCGCCCAGCTCGCTCTCGTGGTCCTCGATCATCTGCTTCAGGCTCCTGATGTACTCCACCGCCAGCCGCAGCGTCTCCACCTTGCTCAGTTTCTTCGACGCTCCCCGGCCCGTCGACGGCCCTTGCGGCGCGAACGCCGCCGCCACGCTCGGCGGGATGTGCTGGCGCAGCGTCGCGAAGCCGTTGTTCACCTGCTTCACCCGGTTTCGTTCCCTGGCGTTCCGGCGGGCCACCGACGCCGGCTGCTGCTGCGGCCCGCCGTACGGCATGAACTGGATCTTCCGCTTGCACCGGAGGTCCGTGTTGTTGGCGACGAGGACGGAGCCGCGCTCCGGGGCCGGCGCCAGCGGCCGCTTGCTCTGGATCACGCCCTTGCCCTGCTGGGCGATGCTGCCCGACACGATGATGGACTGCTGGGGCGAGTGCTGGATCACGTTGTACATCTTGTTTTGCTGGCCGAGGGTCATGGCGAATGGGGTCTGAACGACTGCCATGGACGCGCACTGGTTAAAGCACTGGGTTACGCTGCGAAAGCTACTCCCGGTATGGGTCGCCGTGCAGATGGACAAGCTCTTTGTACTGGCACCGAGCTTCCCCACTCTGCGCGGGGTGGATGCGCCGAGGGTTGAGCGCGTGCCGCCGACAAGAGGCGCATGGCAGGCGGCGAGGCGCGAGCTGACGAGGACGGGACGCTGCGGAGCGGCCGGCCGGAGCGCGAGCGCCGGAAACGCTGCTCCCGCGAAACCAAAACCAAAAACAAACGCAGAAAAAGGACGCCGGAACTGCCGGAACCGCCGGAAGCGGAAGGACGCACCAGCTCAGACGAGCGCACCCCAAGACGCCCTTCGGAGACCCATTCTATTCCTATATAGTCGTACGCGGGTTTTTAAACGGTGCGAATCGACTCGAGGAGTCGGCTCGGATTCGGTGCTCCTCGAGGGTGGTTTTACCTGGACCCGAGGTTCCGCGCTCGCCCACAGATGGTGCTGCCTGCCCCTGGATACCGGGCGGCGTTGAAAGTAAAAGTTTTCTGGCGTCCAGCGACTACGTTTTTTGTCTATCCCGAATTAATAATTTATTTTCGTTGTTGATGGATCGTCTTGAATATTAAATTTTATTGGAATTATAACTGTTCGAATACACTTCATAAATTTGTATTATCAAGGTCATCAAGGCCAAGGTTAATGTCTTCGGGTGGAAAAAAAATGGCATAACAAGATCGATAGTCTGTCGCGATCATTACTTAATAGGATTAGTTCGTGTGTGGATGTGTATGTATTAATCAAATATTTTGGATTTGGGAGAATTGGTCGTGGTGTTTGTGGAAAATGCGAAACGGTGATTAATGGGCTTTGGATAAGGCAGAAAGCGGTAATTTTGATGAATGTTGCAGTTGTGCTAACCTGTGTGGGTTCTTTTTGCGTTCGCTATGTTTTATAGTGACGCGGCTTGCACGAGATTCTAAAAACTCATAAAACGCCAGAAATTACTAAGCGACTAACAGAAACACTCTTAAATCTGCTCAGGCTTTTAGGCCTTCAATTTCTTTAATTGTGACCTTGATAACATATAATTTAGATCTACTGGTTTTAGAGTCTACAAAAAATGCTTTAAAAACCTGAATTTGCTACAAAATGGAAGCGAAGAGCAGTTTTTAAGAAAAAGCTCATTTATACTTTAGTGCCAACATGACAACTGAAAATAATAATTTAGAGAGAATTTCAACAGATTTTTTATTTTTGAAATTTCCGAAGGTTAACACCCCAAGAGTTACATCAATTTCCTAATACAATCGAAGTAACGAATTGCAGTTGATATTAAGTTGGTGTTTTGTGAAATTACGTTGGCACTACTGACAATGAAACCTGTGCTACCATATTTGTGCATTTGATAGAATGTAATATGTCGAGATAATCTGAAACTGCGGGGCCAATTACTTTAAATGTCAAGAGTGTTTTAAGTTTAACATCACGTTGATGCTAATCTGCTGTGATTTTGTCTATTTTGTTCGTAATAAAGTCATAGGTTGTTCATATTTCATCAAGATTTCCAAATTCCAAATGTTTATCATAGACTCTAATTAGAAACCTGATACTTAGCAAATCTCGTTTCTTGGAACTTTAAGCACTGAACTATGCAGTCGATCAGCTTAAGAAAGAAACACTGCAGGTCCTCCTTGAGCTCTCCATAGAAAAACTACAGATCTTACATTTTTTGTGCCTCTCCTTGAAAGCTAGCCCTTCATGTATACAACAGCCACAATCTCAAAGCCAAGAATCGTTATTTATTGCTTCTCTCCCCCTCCGTCTGGCAGTGTCGAAGTGTTGTAGACACGGCGATCGTAGATAATTACGTGCTTGTTTCAAATCGTAATCGATTTGAATGTGAGGTGAACAATAGAAGTAGGTATCCGAAGAAGCCGCTACTTCATCATCGAATCAACGAATCATCGATATGCCAGTCAACTAATTTAACTATTCACTCGTATGTAATCCATTAGATGGTATTGTCATTCCATCATCGTATTACATCACGTTTCTTCGCTTATAATGGATGATCAAATTAGAAAAGCCGACGTCTTACAACAGACGACGGTGGCATTACAACCACGATTTGTGGTTAAGCTGCCGGTTAAGAGCTTGATGGTTTCATTTATTACACTGTAAAGGAGCCGGTTTCGAGGAATCTTCACCGATTTTTGTACGAATCGCGGAGTGGCGCAAAGTGCGAATTGAGACCGCGATTATTCATCGCTTTTTGCAACGATGTTATCAGCCGAATTGGTAATAGATTTAGTGCGTCGAATAAAGTGGATCTTCGAAGCTCCGAGATCCCCCATCTCGCGTTCGAGCCCGTGAGGCGCATTTTACATTTCAAACATGACTTAACCCTTTCCAGGTAATAACCCGGCGGCGTCCTAAGGGTAGTTCGGTCTCGAATATCTCACATTTTTCTTCGGCCGCCAATTAATGTTGTTTGTTCTCTTACAATCGCTCGAATAATTAGGCCAATAGGGCCGAACAAATTTATAGTGGAATGCTCGGTTTTTAACGAGAATTGTCTACGATTTTCGGCGGTTTACGACCACAATCCCCCACAATTAATCACTGCTTAAGTAATTTAATTAGCGTAAGAGCTTCGCGTAAGCTACGGTGTGACTTAATCGAAGTTAGCGAAGCCGATAAAATCAGCGCCTTGACTGACAATTTCATTAATTTGAAGGTGAGTTTGCTGCAAAGCTCTCCGGAACGGACAGCTTTTAATTAACGTGACTCTTTGATCTTGTTCTGATTGCTGGGAAGCGAAAGAACCGTTGCGAAATTATGGAGATGAGGCGGAATGGGAGGTGGAACAAGGAAAGGGTAGGTCGGGATGATTGGAAACGGGACAGATTATTATATCGACACGGCTTGGACGTGGCCTGATTTAGGGAGAAAGTCGGGTTCGGACGGTGACGAGGCGATTTTGATGCAGGAAATTAAAAAAAAATTAAAAAAGCTCTAGCATATTTACAATATCGCTCTCTATTTTTAGAGCCATTTTCGTCCAATTATTAGCACCTGCTTGGCAAAAAATGACTTATTTCCAGTTCGGAAAGGTCAGAATTAAAATTTCTAAAATGCAAGAATCGAATTTCGTCCATGTGTAGACACGAAACATCGCCGGAATTTCCAAACACATCACTAGCATTCATCTCTCTTCAAAATTGAATTAGACGTATGAAACCAATTAAGGACTAAGTATTCGCCGCGGCGTACGCATGAGTGCTTCGTGCGTGTAACATTAAGACTCACATTCGATTCCTAACATGTTCATCACTCCTCTATTAATTACGTGTACTTTTCTGTGTGCACCTCACACTTTTCTCTGTGTATAATCCGATTACCGAATTCGTTAGAGCGACAAAAAACAAATAACAACTTAACGAAAATTAATAACAAAAAATCCAAAGCTCGGGCGTGAAAAAAGTCGAAAACACGTGCTGCTGCACGCACGAGCTCTCCGCCACTTATTAAATTTAAGCGACTGTACCCGACTTTAATCAATTAAATTTGCATCGATAGGTAATGATGGGAATTATTTACATCGATTAATTGTAGACTCTCGAAATGATTTATTCGGCTAAATTGGTCCTGATTTGAATATCGTCCAGGATAAGAGCGATGACCTCGCAGACTCGTTCCTCGACATACGCCGCACGTCATCCACATATTAAAGAGCATCGATTTCGCGTTTCCTGATTAACGAAAATCGGTGCGCGGATCGAAGGAGATCGATCGGAACGAACATCACATAAATTGCCGACACTAGGATTTTTTTGCTGTTATGAAACAGGGGCGACTGCTTTGTGGAACACGTGTTATATAATATCTGATAAACACGTGATAAATTATATCGGACACATCAAAACAACAGGTTGCGTTAATAAAGAAAATTTTGAGTTGGTGTTTCCGGAATTGCAGTTTCAGGAATTTCAGTTTTCAGTTTCAGTCTCCCCCGGTTTGTGCGTCGGGCTAATTCGAGGGTAGGACCGAGTTTCAACACCGTCTGATAATTTCGCCCAGGCACGAGATCGCCTATCTTTGATGAATCCCCAAAGGTGTGAATCGTGCGAATCAGCACGAGAGCCAATGTTTAAATTATAGGAAATCGCCGGGGTGATTTACTAAGCCGTTCCGAAAACTAATTTCTTAATACCGTCCCGAGCCATGTTTGCGAGCTGCCAGCCTCCAGTTAATTGCCTCGAGATTTGTGAGCCGCCAAACTTCCTGATCGATATTCTTGTACAGTTAGGAAACGCATCTGATGAATTTTTTCGGAGAGCGCGACGGTCGATCAAGCGACGAACCCAGAAATCGTCCTGCTGGCTTTCGATGTCCCCGTGAAAAATAAACTCTCATCACGATACGCCGTCCGAATAAATTTACCGCCACTAATAAAATTTAATTCGGTCGGAATTCAGTCGGAAATTGATTTACGTAATTAGACTCCTGAATTTAATTAAATAAATAACGCAGATGACCCCGAGGGACGATTATCGAAACTGAGATCGCGTAGGTCGGGTTATTATTCATCCGGACGCTACAATTTTTCCGTCAATTTCGTATTAAAGGTTAAAGCATACACGGGTTTATTCCCGGCTTAATTGCGACACGCACCGAAAGTATTAAATCGCTATTAACTTTCCTGCTAAAGAGTTTTGCGGTTGCTGCTACTTGTCGCTATTAAATTTTTGATGGTCACTTTTGGCAGGTTAATGAGCACGGCTGCAGGAAAAAATTGACGTTTGCGAAGAACAAATAAGGACGATCGGTTACTTCTCAATTAGCCGGAGCGGGGTTGTTAAGATTTTAATGGACGATTGACGATTTGTACTGAGGCTGTAAACACGCAAATATTTACGGGGTTTTTATCGCAAAGTGAAAACGTCCAGATACGTCGTTAAGAAGTTTTAAATTAACGAATTACGTTGTGGCGGCGGTTTCTGCAAATCCCCTAATTAACGGCCAGCTCGCAAAAAATATATAGTCAAAATTGCCT